AAGCTGAAAAAGTTCCCCTTTAAAATGGATTTTAGGTTTTTTCAGGCACTCAAATCAAAACGTTTTGAACGACAGTCAATTTGTTATTTGAATGTTCTTTCTTATTTTATTTTTTAGATAAAACGTTCAATTTAGCTTCTTTGTGTAGCCTATATGCCTCTATCCTCCAAGTTATAGTCTTCATCTCTTGCACTGCTTTATGTTATAAGTGAGGGGAGCTAAAAGATACAAGCTGAGAGAGACAAGTCACAAAAGTAAAGAGATTCCTTACTGTGGCAAACATATGATGTAAATGATTTCAATAATTTATTTTCTGAAGATAAAACAGCAATTAGGGAATTGGTAAAATTATAGTTATTTTAATAAAATAATTCCCTGATTCCAATTAATCTTATTTTGAAGGTGGAAATACAGACTAAGACTTAAAAAGAATATTAATTATAGAATCATTTAAACCACCTAATATCTGTAATACTCACTGCATTGGTACAGTAAGAGAAGAGTCTTAACTTTATTTCATATTATTGTTTATTTTCTAATTATTTGTAAACTGTCCTGAAATGTTTTAGTTCTGGTTCAACCATGGACCTTTCTAACTTTATTACAGGTGGTAAAAATACTGTTTAATATTATTATTATGCAAATATAAGACACTTGAGTGTTTATGCTAATACTGCCATTAAATTGGATATCCAGCCAGGCAAACAAATAAAAACAAACACACACACACAATAACTCACCTGCACTGTGTGTGTGTTGGGTGTGAACTGGTCCAGTGGGGTTGTGGTGGACCACCGTACAGAAAGACCTGGAGACAGAAACCAGAAGTTACGGGCCGCTCAGCAGCACCTCCACAGGGTCACAGAGAGAAACACAATAGATATAATAATAGATAAACTAGCAGCCAGTCACTAGTTCACCTGCTGGGTCACTAATCTCGGCCTCAGTTAATCCTTTTAGCTCCGGTCCAACATCCTGTAACCCGTCATGGTTCACAACGGCCGCTGAGAGCAGCAGCAGGAATAAAAGCTAAAATCAAATGTATCGCACTGACAGCTTGTGATAAGGGTTACAAAGAACTTCCTCCGTACAGGATGTATGATGAGCTATCACCTACTGACACCGTCCACCAGGAAAATGCTGCTCGTGTGTTAGTGGCAGGAGAAGCTGCTGGTTCTGTGGTCGTTCGGAGGGTGAATACGTACGTGTTAACGCAAGAAAGACTTTATTTTGCTCCTCAACTGTCCAAACTGCACACTTTACAACTGTCCGCTCACTTTACATATGTGAGAGAGAAACAGAGCATTATGGGCAAATTAACCCAGAGTGACCGTTCAACGGCAGCTTTATTTTAAAGGTTTCATTTTTATGTAAAGCCAGTGTTCGGTTTGTCCCTTCTGGGCTACTGTAGTAACGGACCCACAGTGTCTGCAGATATAAACGGCTCGTCTAAGGTAACAAAAACTAAATCCCTATATTACACTAATGAGAACATACTTATTATATATTATATATATTATAACAGATTCTCCTAAATGTTACACCTTTAATTGGTAATGAAAATAACAGTTTGGCCTTGTTTAAATGATAAGAAAACGACTACAGTTGACTCATAGTTTGTGTACAACAACAGATAAGATGATGTGTCACCCTACAGACCATGAGGACGGTGTCATTGATTTATAATAACATGATTAGACCTGAATGTAAGCGTGTAACCATAAACCTGGACTCCCCCACTGACAGTCTGTCGTAAGGACAAAATGTAATTCCTAAAAGGTTTCTATTACTTGCTGTTACCGCTGCCAAAGTAAGACACAAATACAGTGTAAAATAACTATTTTAATTTATTTTAAGAGTTATTATTATTAACTGTTAAATGTATAGTTTGATTCTACAGTTCCAGCTTCTTCTTTATAATATTAAACTCAATATACTTCATTCAGATTCATAATAATAATCATCAGTTGCAACTCTAAATGGGCACATTTTATTCTTTACAACTATCAATATGAGTGACCATGTCTAGATACAACGGAGGAACCATAGTAACCACCAGCAGTTGTTGTGTGTGTGTGGTAAAATATAATAAATATAATGTGTGTGTAAACTTTATATCTTCCTTTGTAAATAAAAGTTTTCCCTTTATTTATTCCTTTAGTGCTACTTTTATATACTCTGTATGTGTATGTATGTATTTATTTCCTATCTTATTGTTATAAAATAGGAAATAAATCTATAACTATATTCTGATTTAACTGATTGTTTTAGCACTGTACTGCTGCCATACAGTATTAACAGATTGTAAAACATAAAATAATCAGAACAGGGGAATTATAATAACATTAAATGTGCTCTTCCAGAAAAGCAGCAGTTTCTTGTTGATCTTGTAAAAGGATATATATATATATACCGTAATTAGCAGACAAAGAAGGTTTAGTCATAATAAAGCATGAGTATGAAGGAGGCTGCAGCACCCCCTAAAACCTGCCATAATAAAAACATTACATCAAAAACATGTTTAAACTTATGATGATTTAAACTGGGATTTACATGTACACACTGATATTTATGGCACCAAAGTGGTTTCACCCTTTCACCCACTAAAAAGTTGCACAATTTGTGTAAAATGTTGTTTATATCTTAACAGTTAATAAATGAAGGCTGTAAATTATCATGGCCTCAAATGAATGCAAAAACAATGAATGTCATGTATTTAGCGTTTAGTATGATGCTATTATATACAGACTAACTTATATAGGACCCCCTAAACTCTGACTTACATTGTCCCTGAGTATGAACACATTTGTAAAAAAATAAAAAAAATATAACAAAAATAAATATTTTAAAGCAAGTAAATATGAATTAAGGAGTAAAGTGTTTTCGGAGCAGCAGCAGTTATTAGACTAATTAAAAAGCCTCCGGTTGTCATTAAGCGGTAATGTCCGTGTTAACGCTCAGTCAGCAGAAACAAGTGCGTTATAAAGTACGCAGTCGGTCAGTTGGTCGCTCGGTCGGGGCCCTCCTGTGCGGAGCTCTGTGGCCGACATCCGCAGCCTGTTGCCCGGCGCCGTTCACGGGTCATCCTCGGTGTTCTGACAGTTGGCGTTGGATCCGCGGTCGGTGCGACGAGCAACCGCTGCCACAGTGTGACTGTACTGTATAATGCTGCTAGCTCCAGGCTAACTACTTAACACTGCTAGCGCTGGTTGAGACTTGGCTCGTCTTGGAGTTCTTGTTGTTGGTGAATTTAGAGACTTTCCACTTGTTTTTTTTATATATGTCACCGCGGCGTTATGAGCGAACTCTGAACACATCTGAGTGCAGCTGAAAGCGGGACTTTCTTTAGCCTGACGTTACGCTGCTCTGAGGGCCTGTTCGGGTCTACACACGCACATTACCGCTGACAGGATAACTGTCACCGACGGGAGGATTCAAGTATTTACGTGAGGCATAAATTAAACAAGCCGTGAAATAAAGTGATTTCACACATAAAGAAGCACATTTTAAGTTAAGTTGAGTTATTATGAGTTACTCACTGAAGTGCGACAGCGTCCCTGTGCAGCCGCTCCGTTGTGTCTGATGATGGGCTTTTCCGTTGCTATAACCCCAGCCGTTGCTAGCAAGTTGCGCGAGACTGCTCTCACCTAAGCCGTTGGCGTGGCGCATGCGCACGACAGTTGCAGGTTTTTAGCATGACTTTTTATGAAACTGGTGTCCCCGTGAGCGGCCATGATGGAGAAAAGGTACGACGGCGCTAAACTGTGGAGCCGTAACGTTAGTGCTTCTCCGTCATCCTCTGTTTCAGTTATCCACTCACTTTGAATACAAGTTTACATATTATTTGGCCAGAACATAAACATCAGCTGCCGCTATATTAGGGTAAAAATACAACTAAAAGTCCTGCATAAAACTAAAGTGCAAAAGTATTAGCATCAAAATATGTTTTTAAGTGTGTAGAAGTAAATAAAAGTACCAGTTTAGAAAAAATATATATTAGTGATGATCAATTATTGATGCATCAGTGTGTCACTTTGATGTTGTAGAAAGGTGAAGTTTATTTTAAATACTTTATATATGTGTGGGTGGCTTAATACATAATAAAACAACACAATTTAGTTTATTATTTCATATTCAAAATCTTAATCTGCAATGTAACTAAAGCAGTTACATAAATGTGATGCAGTTAAAAATAAAATATGTCCCTCTGAAATGTAGGGCAGTAGAAGTATAAATAGGCCTATCATTGATGGAAATACTCAAATAAAGTGCAAGTACCTTAAAACTGTATTTAAGTACAGTAGTTGAGTAAATGTACTTAGTTTTCACCACTGGATGTCAGTGAGTGTATCTTTGCTTTATAATTATGTATTTAGGTAATATGATTATATATGATTGTAATAGGATTCAGCACAGTAGCCTACAACAGAAAACATATTAAATTATTATTATTATTATTATTATACTTTAATGTTTGCAGGGTTTTTCCATAACTTTGACTTGTAGTATGTAATTGTTTGACTAACTCTGGTTTATTATTCTTTTTCATTGGGGAAGAGAAAAATAATCTCTGTAGTAGAGTACAATAATTTATATTAAGGAGACAGAAGCGTCAAACCTTGTGTGATCCGAGCCGGCTTGACATTTTATGGCAGGTCAACCGGGGACACCAGCCTGGTTGCATCAAATAAAACCAGTTGCTTCATCCAGCTGATTCCCATATGTGAAAGTGAGTTTTCCTTTCTCATGGATTTAAATAGGATTTTGGTTAAAATTTGCTTTTATTTTTTAATTGGTACCCTGCACTTTCATTCGTTTTGCAATTTCACTCTTATTTGTAGTTTGCATTTCCCTGTATTTCTACTTCTTCTTTCAACTTACTGTTTTTCTATTTTAGTATGCTTGTATACAAACTACATTCATGTATGCGAAGCATGTCAGGCAGAACATACTCCCTCCGGATGAAGAGTTTAATATGATCTTTTTGTGCTTTTTCTATGCATTTGTTAATGAATCAATCACTTTATTAATCTTTTGCTAACTTGTACCATGTTGGTATTTTAGAAACATCAGTGGACACATAAGAAGAATCAAAACGTTATTTTTCTCACTTTATTCTTTTTGCTGTTACTCTTGTGGTAAGAAACAAGCAGCCACTTACAGATTCAACAGGTTCACTGTCCAACACAACAAGGATCTACAAACACACACAGCCACCGACCAGTCACAGTGCCTTCAAAACAACGAAACCATCCAACAATAAAATAATGTCATCGTAGGTAATTGTAAAAAACAGCACCAGTTGTTGTGAGCCTGTGGAGAGATTTCACTCCTCTGTCTCTGAAGTGGTGCTCTTCATGCATGGGTGTGGGTGTGGCACGGGTGATTCACATTGGCACATTTACTCTTTCAACTAAAAAAACTAAAGAAAACAAACATCCTAAATATATAGTTCACAGACAAAAAGACGTGATAATGTATAAATATGATACTGGTTGGCAGGAATGAGACATCATCAGGAGGTGAGAGGGTCAGTGGTTTTCTTCATCCTGTGCAGCTCAATCGTCCTGCTCTGTGGAGACACTCTGCTCTAGTAACAGTCCTGTTTTATTTCCCTACAAGTAGGAAGTTGGCTTTCAAAATGTGGTGGAGATGCTACTGAAACTCAACAACATCATTTCTTTCGGGGCCCTCTGTGCTCAATCTGGGGCCTCAATTATCAACTGTGTGTACGGACAATTTTGTATGTAAATTGTGCAAACACTGATTTCCACAGAGAATCAGATTTATTATATTATTATATTCTTCTTGTGCTTGATAATGTGCAAACATTTGAAACCAGTAATTCTGAACCTCAGCCTCGCTGTCTCTGATGTGCTTTATTTTTCCACAAGACGTCCTCCACTGAAGCTGCATGAATCAGTTTGGGGCAGAACTCCAAAACAAGCTGAACATCACACACATTTGGCACATTATAGCCATATTAAGTTGTTATAGCTACTATATATTAAGAGTTGCGTGTTTACACATTCACATGTTTCTGTTGCCCTGTCCAACTGCTGAGGATAAAGTCCTGTTTCTTCAGCTGCTTAATCCTCCATTTTCTTCACTGGCTAGTTGCTAACTTTGTCATTTGTTGCTGAAGGTCAGCCTACAATGGGTTTATGAGAGCTTTATTGCTGGGAACGGTTTTGTTGAGAGCTCTGAGAGTTAACCACAACAGTAAAGTTGTGGGCTATAAAACCAAAACAATGAGTTGAAAAAAGCTAAACAAGTAAATTAGACTGTTCATTCTAATTTAATTAACTCTTTCTTGTGACTACAGGCAGCTCTTGCCCCCAGATTTAGAGCTTTAGACACATTTTGATAAATGAGACCCCTGATGTTTTCACTCAGCAGGCTTTAAGTGATCTCTCTGGTGCATGAGAAGGCACTGCGTTCAACTTTATTCATGTAAAGGACATGAAGCATTATTCTTATGTTTTGTATTATCAGTAGCACAGTCACAGAAAGCTTTTCCTCCTTCATATCCCCACTGTGATCTTTAAATCACCTTCTCGTCATCCTTCTTTTAAGAAACTGAACTGACTTCTCTTCAGTCTTTTAGCACTTTGCACGGTCTATAAAAACCACGTTTCCATGACAGAAATGCCTACATTGAGCTGTTGTTGGATCAGTCCTGGGAGCAGATTTATAACCCCAGGTCAGCCTACAGGTTGTATAATTCTGTAACTCAGTCTATAGACCCTGCTACATTGCAGGTGAGGCAGGGATGTTTCTGGGATATGTGAGAGTTGTTTCAGTCAGAGGCAGTGAAAATATAAGGATGGATAGGGTCAAGTCTGACTCTATCTACAGAGTGTAGTTGTAAGATCACACGGTGTTCGAAGCAGTTGGATTTCACCACCACACAGCACAGTTCGTCCATTGGAAATAAAAACACTGTTAGAGGAACCCACAGTGCTGCAGGAAGCCGAGCACAGTGGGTCTTTAATCACAAACAGAATCCACACAGATCTTCAAATGAGTCTAAAGCTATGGTGTCTACAGTGTACCGTATGTTTGTGTGTGTGTGACAGGGGTATAATAGATTTTTCACTGAATCCAGTTTTTTTTAAATAATTCAGTCGACGTCACTTCAGTTTAAACCATCAAAAACTGTACTGGTTTTGATCTTTCACAGTTTGTTTAGTTTGCACTTAGTTTGCACACGGGATAGGAGCAGGGTGATAATGAGAAGGCTTTGTGAATGTTAGTATGATCAGCTTGAATTTGGCAAAACATTTTAAATTCACAGATAGCCCTTTACTCTCGTTTAAATTAATCAGGTCAGTCACTCCAATTAAGACACAAATTATATTTGTAAAAGTCACTTTGGCAGATCACTGATCATCAGCTAGGTCTTCACCAATAACAGACAAGTGCTTGAATTATTTTTCCCTTCTTAACTTTAATCCTGTGATTAAAAATCAGTGCAGTTTTCCTGGTTGCTCAGAAATATACAAAACAAGGAGGGTCGGACGGTTGAAGCTCCTGCACCAGTGATTACCAGATACCACTGGAGCGACCGCCAGGGGGGGCCAGGATCCGAGCAGAGGACCTCTTCGGGATGTGGTCATCAACCTGAGATCCTGAGAGAAAAACACAAATTCTTCCTTCAGTCTGACCCCCCAAAAAAATCACCACAACAAAAGTTCTGAGGGACTTACTAAACAATCGCAATGTTAAGTTTTATACCCGAAAGGCTAAAGGAGGACTCATGGAGGTCTCGGACTCCCTGGTGCACCCGAACACCAGAGCCTCCTTTGTTGGCCTCTCCGTCTATGGGGCCCAAACCGAGCTCCTTCTTCATAGTGTTGGCCACCTTGGCCACATCACCAGAGTAGGGATCCCTGACAACCCCTTTGTAGGCCTGAGTCTGAAACAGAGAGGCAAGAGGTGAAAGGTAAAGAATAAATACTCACAGATACAGAAGGGAACGCAGATTTTAAATCAAAAGTCTAGTCGTCACCAAAAGTTTAGCTAAAATTGGTTCTTTATTCCCTTCATGAAGGAACATGATGTGGTGTTCTTGGTTAGAGGGGGTATTAAGTAACAATAATAGTCCTGTCAATAACACTCAACATTTATTTGACCTGACAGTTGTTCGTTCAGGAGCATCATCAAGAGTTGGCTAAACAAAACAAGTGTTTGCCTTTCACAGACTCTGACTAAATGTCCAATAATCACAATACTTTTTAAAAAGAGCCGACCGACACAGTATAAAAACACGGAATGTGACAAATCTTGAATGTAATAATAATAATATAATGACTTGAACTGATACCCAGCAAATAAATAAAAAGTAGTGAGAATGGAAAAGCAGCAGTATTGAATTCCCGGCAGTATAAACCGTCCATTTAAAACACAGGAAAGCCAAACCCTGCAGAGGCTGGATGGAGGAGGATTTTGCAGACACAGCAGTGTCAGCGCACAGAGAGAGCAAGAGCATTAAATCCTTTATATAGACTGTCAAATCAGTGCAGTTAGACACAGTATGATGGGTGTGTTCGCAGCAGGTTCAGTGTCAGCTGACACAGCACAGCATGAGTCCTGGTGTACTGACAGGAGAACGTTTTAGTAACATCATTTGATTCTGTTTTAAGTGATTGGAGGACAGAAACACAGATGTGAATGAATGAAAAGTGAACACACCTTTTCTCTCTGCACCATCTTCTTGTAGAGGTAGTCAGGGAAAGTGCGCTGTGGGTAGAACTTTCCGGAGCCCTCGGCACACATGAACACGCCGTTCTCACACACCAAACGTCCTCGGCTGATGGTGACCAGGGGAACACCGTGGCAGCGCAGCCCCTCGTACAGGTTGAAGTCTCCGCCCTGCACCTGAGTGCTCACAGAGATCGTCCTGCACAGACGGAACAGCCATTAATACCAGCGAGTGTGTTCAGCACAAAATCAAGTAATAACGACAAGCAGTCTGTGTTTGTGAATATAAGTTTGTACCTCGCTGCGTCTGGGTCCCAGACCACCACATCAGCGTCAGCCCCGGGGATGATACGACCCTTGCGTGGGTACAGGTTGTAGATCTTTGCAGCGTTAGAGCTCGTCACAGCCACAAAACGATTCTCATCCATTTTTCCTGTAACCTGCAGGTATTAATATATAAAGAAATGTAAGAAGTCATAAGATTATTTGCCGATGTTGTCGTGCAGGAGGGATGCGCGATAACATCGGCACATTAAAGGTATCGACTGACAAAGGCTTTAAAATTAAATGTTTCATGAACATTTCTGTTGATACGACAAAAAGATGACGCTGTAATAATCCACACATGGTGCGGAGGTTTTTTTTAAATGTCCAAAACAGATAGCAAAGATGCTGATTGAAACAATTTCTCAGAGTTTGTCCGGCCAGGAGGAACCAAACCATCGCATTCTTTCAACACTACATATTTAATTTCCCATCATAAGGGCTGTCATCCCAATCATTATGACTCATTTGTGAAGAACAGAAAGAAACTGACACCAGCAACAAAAACTGTTAGCAAAAGCTGTGTACATTTTTAAATTAATTGCATTATATTTATGCATCTGCCAGTAGGCCATCACAATAACAAAAGGCATAATGATATGTTAATTACACTACAGGGGAGGGGGGAGAAATATGTGCATATATTGGCATCAATCGGCCAATATGAGTTGGAAAATATCAGCATATCGGACACTGACAAAACTCTATTGTAAAAAACTACGTGTGTCTCTATTTTGCAGGACTTGATTTGGCTGCTTTTTCAGACAATGCCCTGTTCGGACTTCATTCCTCAGAGATATTATTAGAGTAAAGCTGGGCTCAGACTACAGGAGTTTTAAAACCCTAACCATTTTTGAAATACGGTTACACCACACAAATAAGGCTCTGTAATCTCAAACCAGCAAATACTACAAGATTTGTAAAAAATGGTGCATCACACACTATTATTAAGATTATTTAATTCAATTCAAAATGGAGAGTGACGTAGCAGAACAACTTAACTTTAGTTAATATTTCACAGTGAGAAAAAACTGTTTCCAAAGTTTTAATATGATTTTTTACCTCACAGTAATATATTGTAAAAATAGTTGCGGTTGAACTCGCTGCTCTGCTACAAAACCTAAGGCGATGGACATGGTCCGCTCCTGTTACTGTCACTAAATAATGTGTGTGTGTGTGTCTGTGTGTGTGTGTGTACGTACCACTCCCCTCTCCCAAATGACACTCATCCGGTCCTGGACTCCAGCTACTCCATGAGGGATCTTTGTGAAGTCCTCCTTGCCCAAAGCTCTCTGCTTGATGGTAAACGGACGGTGCTCTGATGCCACAACACTCAGAGTATCACTGGAAACAGCATATGTGTGTTTTAGTTTAGGGCAGGTTTTGTATCTTTGATGTCAGTCAGTCTGTATTTTAAGGGCACTATCTGTACAAAGCACATACTTGCCCAGCAGGCCCATGAGGTAGCTGGGTGTGTTGGGGTCGAGGCGGAGAGGAGGGATGATAACATGGGCGGCAGCATGAGCCCAGTCCTGGTGGTAATACTGCATCCCATTCAACACTGCGTGAGCTACTGTGGTCTCTGCGTGGACCACCTTACCTGCAGGGACAGAACAGAAAGAACAGAAAGAACAGAAAACAGGAAAGAGGTTTGTTACAAGGAGATCATCCTCATCTACGTGGTAAATAGAACATACTAGTGTGTCTTTGTTGCAGCCCACCTTGCATCTTAGCAGCAGCAATCATATCTCCAGCAGACATACTGGACACATTCACCAGGTAGATCGGGCAGCGAGCCTGCAAAGTGCATTCAATCATTTATCAGTAACACACCGACACCTGCACACAGACAGGATGTTAAAATTGGGTTTTGTGTCTGTTTACCCTATTGGCGATGGTGACAGCTCTGTGAGTCGCCTCAGACTCCAGCTGATGAGACAGAGTCACAAAATGAGAGGTTTAATAAACACTCAACAATCATCCCTACAGGTTTCCCAAAAAGATTTCCCTTTCTAATTGTCAGTGTGAAAACTTTAATACACTAAAATGTTTTATTATCAACATTTGAAGGATAAAAAAAGAAACGGACACAAAGTGCTTTCTACTCATGTAAGTTTATCTAAATGAAAAATAACGTAAATGTAAATGTACCTCCTCTGGTCGACTGATCTCAATACCCTCCGGTCCACTGATGCCCAAATCCAGAGCCTCTTTGGCACTCTAACGACACACACACATACACTTGGTAAGTTATTTTACATTTTGTAATTGTTTCTTCAAACACACACATACAGAACAAACTGTCTCTAAAATGTTTCTACTTCAGTGGCCAAAATAGGCACATAACATCAAAATATTCAGCAACTAATGAACTTTCATGACAGGCAGAAATTTGTCAAAGCAAGTAAAGTAATTATTTACTGTGCTGAACATCTGTTATCAAAAGGAAAACATAGAAAGAAGCAACTGTGTGTGTGGTCATTTGAGTGTTTGTTGGATGAGCACCTCTGCCACCAGCTCTCCGTTCTCAGCGTGGACGCGTGCGATGGCGCCAATGTCCTTACAGGTCTGCAGCGTCTGGTAGAGCTCGCAGTCCCTCAGCATCATCATGTCTTTGTAGGCCATGAACATCTGGAATGAGTTCACTCCATGCTCTCTCACCAGGGTCTCCATCTCGTTACGCACCTGAGCACAGGACAAAGGTCAGAGGTCAACGATGTGGATTAGTTCTGGTTGCAAATCATTTCTGAGAAGTGAAAAAGTTTTGGTTTGGTTTGTATATAGACTGTAAATATAAATATAAGTCAGTAAGTATAAATAATACTGTACTGGTATTTACAAAATCAGACAGTGAAGAGCATTAGTCAGTGTGGATGTAGTCATAGAGGGAAAGAGAAACTGTGTGTATGTGTGTGTGTGTCTGTGTGTGTTTGTATGTGTGTGTGTGTTTGTATGTGTGTGTTTGTGTGTATGTGTGTGTTTGTGTATGTGTCTGTGTGTGTGTGTATGTGTCTGTGTGTGTGTGTGTGTGTGTGTTTGTTATATGGGGCGTGAAATGAGCTTGGAGAGCAGCCAGAATGAGATCACACTGCATCACATTCATAGTCCCAAAGAGACATTCACAACATAGAGAAATGTATAATACACTAAACAGAAACTATAAGGTGTTTAACAGGAAAATATATTCTAACTATACTGCAGTGAAATTCAAATGAAGGATAATACTTTGTTCATATGAAGAAGTACTGTATATATCTTCCTTCATTTAAAAGGCTTTAAGTTATAACTTCACTAACCATAAAAGCTTCAGGTGTTTATTGTAATCTCAGTCAGTAGGAAGATAACAATGCAGGTTTCATGTACTTACAAAGCTGCAGTAACTATACTAAAGTAATATAGTAACATTAGTGTTGAATAAAAAGAGTTAATAGTCAATTTATTATAACATTGAAGGGTATTATTGAAGATCAATAACAAAGGATCTTAGTATAATGGCCATCATAAAACACTAAACAGCAACATGATGCCATCAGAGCTGAAATGATTCATTGATCATTGAATTGAACATAGATACCAAATGATTTCTCAATTAATAAAGGATAACTGCTATTAATTAATAACGACAATAATACTTGCTGTTATATGAAGGAACAACAAAGATGTTTTTAACAGCTAGATTTTACACAATGTAGCGTTAAACATTTTATATATATAATAACATGTGGCACAAAGTCAGCAGATGATGAACACAGACATTAAAGCCAAAGGCTGAATGAGGCACGTTGACTCACAGACTCTGCCTAACGTGCCCAGTGAGTATGTGTGTTAACCTAGTTCGTGTAAGGTTTAATCTAGGTCATCACACATTTCACCCATAGATGAAAATGGACTGCTGCTTTATTAGTCATTCAGCGAGCATAATAGCTTAAGGAGCAGAACAGCAAGAGTGAGTTCTGTTGATAAAAGATGTGAGTGGAAGTGCGTCCATGCAGGTCGCTGGTCCTGGTCCTGCTCACATGGTGACCCCTCCTTGGCTCTTACCTTTGGTCCCCACCAAGTCACCCCGACATGCAGAGCGTAGTCGCAGCACGCCTTGGCGTCGGCCTGAGCTCTGCACTTCTCGTAGGCGTCCAGCAGGGAGCAGTGTTGTTCAGGCAGGACCAGACCCATCACCATGGTGGTACCACCCATCAGAGCCGCCTGGGTGAGGTGAGGGGGTGAGGAGAGGTGAGTGGGGAAGGAAGGACGGAGGAAAATGGGAAGCAGGAAGAGAAAACAGAGACTGATTAGAGACGAGAACAATGTTTCCACTGTAAAGCAGATAGACGCTGTTTGTTCGGGTGACAATGAGCAATAGTTCTTTATAAACTGTTTTCTCATCATCTTATTGTCTACTTGTTCCTCTGTTGTATAAAGATGCACAAAGACTGACATTGCTACTGACATAGAAAACATTTAACTGAGCTGGTTACCAGTTATTAAACAGAGGAAAGTTTGTAGCATTTCTTTACTTTCTTCTGCTAATCTGTGAACAATTTATTTGAAATGTTTGTTTTGTACATTTCTTACTGGAAGATGTCTTGCTATGTTAATATATGTTGATCCCACAATTACAGAAAATGTCATTTGTTAGTGATTCACGAAGATTATGTGATTCAAAATAATTGAAAACGATTAAATAAGTTTGTTTTCTTATTATAATTTCAATATCAAAAGACTGACACACTCTGACACTTCATTTTAATATTGTTGATTAGCTCTCTCTAGAGAAACCTCTCTAGGTTTTAAGTTTACAAGTCTATTTTAAGAAGAGCCTACTTCTTAGAAAACACAAGAAATGATCATCATTGTTTCTGAATCTGTCTGTTTGTCACAGAGACTCCAAGACAGGAAACATGAAAAGGAGAAGAAGAGGATGTGAGAGGAAATGACTGATGAAGAATAGAAGAAAGTGGGGAAAGTTATGGAGGAGAAGACACAGAGAAGAATGAGAAGAAGGACGGGGGGAGAAGAGAAGTGAAGGGAGCGGTCTGCAGTTGGTCTCAGTTGGTTGAATTGTAAATGCACTTTTGTGTAGCCATGACAACAGATACTGCTCAGCCATGCCTGTCGCATGTGCCCACCCTCCTCCTCCTCCTCCTTCCATCCAGAATTGCACTGACAGTCACCCATTCAATATCCTCTAACAGTCCAGGGATATTGCACTGAGAGATGGGAAAACAGGCAATAATCATTTATGAAACAGGAAATGAGCAGAGAGAGAGTGTGACGTGCAGTTTCTCTGCACCACACAGACTTCAATCTTCATCTCGGTTCAGGCAGAATAAAAACCAGAGCAGGTGTTCACTACCAGAATAGCCTCCATTCATCATTTCTACAGCGTAGCCTCAATAAAATGTTACTAAATATGAAACAGTTGTGCTATATGTGTCAGCGTCGAGTCATTCCTGCAGACCGGGGGGGGG